TCTCTGTACTCTCTCTCTCTCTCTCTCTCTCTCTCTCTCTCTCTCTCTCTCTGGTCCTAGCTCCCTTCACAACAGTACAAAGGAAATGAATCAATCTATTTCCTGTCTTTCTTTCTTTCTTTCTTTCTTTCTTTCTTTCTTTCTTTCTTTCTTTCCTTCCTTCCTTTCTCTCTCTCTCTCTCTCTCTCTCTCTCTCTTTCTTTCTTTGTTGTTGGTTTGATAGTTTTTTTGTGGTCACACCTGTTGGTGCTTTGGATTACTCCTGGCTTTGCATTAGGGAATCAGTCACAGTGGGCTCAGAGGAACCATATGGGATGCCTAGGATTGAATCAGGGTTGGCTGTGTGCAATCTCTCTGGCCCCGTTTCTGGTTTGGGGCAAGAACCAGGAATAGATAGAAGGAAGTGAAGGGGAGGTAGGCTAGTAGGGAGGAGCAGCAGGCAGCCTCTGCTCAGAGGGAGGGCAGCAGGAACCCACCCAGAGTGGAGCCTCAGGGAAGTAGCCAATGAAGGCCGGAAGAGACCTGTGGCCTCCAGTCTAACCTCCAGCCCCAGACAAGTTGCCAAGAGCAGCAGAGCCAGAGAACCCAAGTGGAGGCAGCTTAATTCATCAGCATCCAGTTGGTTAAAAATAACTTCACTTATTAGTTTAAGTGAGATCACCATGGGGCTGGAAACTCGCCGTCAGTGAAACAAAAATACAGAGAGGAAAAGGAGAAAGGTTTACATTTATGATGAAGTTTGTTTCCCAAAAGAAATCCAGGAGGAAACTGCCTACACATTCTGCCCCATTTCCCTTCTGGGTGCGTTGGGCCTGGCAGGACTTGCAGTTTCAGAGGTAGGAGCTGCCTGCAGCCCCACTGTTGGGCCCAAAGAAAATCAGAGCTGTGTGCCATGGAGCCTCCTCAGGGATAAGGACATGCTGAGAAATAAACAACGTGGTACAGGGGCGAAGCTGATGTACTGGTCTCTACACCTGCAGTCTCCTTCCTTGCACCGAAACATGCAGCTGGTCCTGGCTATCCATGACATCTCACTGTGGAGAAGCAGTGCCCCACAGTGCTGGGGAGCACTGTCGGAGTTCTTTCCATTGGATCACCAGCCAATGCCCAGAGAGCTTATTTTGACATCCCTCCTGCTTTTTTAGAAAGGTAACCCCTCCTACCTAGGCATGCACACAGCGTCCCTTTCTTGGTCAGCAGGAAGCCTCCTCTCAAACCAGGCCCTGACGAGACCAACTCCACGCTTCCCTTACTCCCTACCCAGAGAGCCTCGCTGAGCTGGGGTGCAGGGAGTACCTATCTTCTCTGGACACAGGACCCTGGGCATTTGGTCTCTGGTACTGTGCGAACTGCCTGCTCCACCAAAGGGAAAGGGTGTTCACATTCATGAAAGGTATGAGAAATTTCCTTCACAGCTCCTACAAAATCCTAAGGATTTTTGTAAATGATGGGTGTTTTGTTTGGACCCTGGAGATCTACTCCAGGACCTCATACTTGCTCAGTAAGCATGTGCTCTATCATTGAGTAAGCTTCCCAGCCCCTGTAGAGTATTTGGTTACTGTTGTTTTGAGAAAAGGAAGAGTCCGTTCTTAAAAAATGTTGATTTTCATAATTATTTCACTGTTGGAGAGAAACGATAATAACTGCAATGTCTTGAATATTCTCTACCTCGTACACCAACGTATTTTCATTCTGTCCTATTTGCCTTATTATTCTCTCTCCCTTCCTATGTTTCTCCTTCTCCTCACCCCCATATACACATACATATATAGAGAGATGTATTGAGCTGTAGAGATAGGTAGCTATATGTAAAGAGACATATAGAATACATTCGCTATGCCAAAAACAGTAACAACAAGTCTCACAATGGAGATGTTACTGGTGCCCACCCGAGAAAGTCAATGAACAATGGGAGGACAGTGACAGTGACAGTGACATATGTTGATGTGTTTATGCATACTTGTTAATAAGCATATTGTACATTTTTAGTGGTAAGTCTATTCTGAAGTGTTTGAGAGGACTTTGTAGATCTGAAGTTCCTTTGTTCCTAAAATCCTCAAGGTGCAAATCCAAGAACAGGGATGCTTTTCTTGCACATAACTATGGTGCAGTCAGCAAAGTTGGGAAATTTAAACATTAATATATGACCTCTAATTCATAATTTCTATTCAGATTTCATCAGTTGTAGATCTTTTTGTATTGTTTTGTCTTGGGGCCACACCCAAAAGTGTTCAGGGCTCACCCCTGGCTTTCAGAGACCATTTCTGGTGGTGCTCGGGGACCATATGGTGTGCCAGATAAAAAAAATTGAACTCAGGTTGGTAGGCTACAAAGCAGGCAACCTACCCACTGTATTATCTCTCTGGCCCCTGTTGTGTAGATCCTTTATTCCTGGTCTAAGATGCAATTGAGGACCACAAATTTGTTCACAAGTCTTTTTAGTCTGTTTGAGTCTAGAACAATTGCTTGGTCTTCCTTCATCTTTTTTATCCTTGACAGATTTTAGAAATACAGGGCTGCTGATATTTGGTAGGATATTTTTAAAATTTGTTTGGCTAATTTTCCTCATGGTTCGGTTCAAGTTATTCATTTTTGGCAGGAATCCTACTGAATTGAAGCTGTTTTCTTCTAAGTGCAGTGTATCAGGAGGCACATACATTGTTTTGTCCACAAACCTAATATCATGATTATGTCAAGAGACAATATCATGATTATAAACTCAAGGTCCTAGAGGATATGGTATGGATATTTCCAACTTAGACTTCATGCACTACAATGGTGGGTAAAAGCAGTACATACTTGCATGTACACAACCTACTTGAAAGCCTATGAAGTGGGAAGCCCAGGCTAGTCTCCTGCATGATGAGAAATACTGCCTCCATCATCCTCATCACCCCAATCAACAGCCAGACAGTCATGCTACTTGAGAAGCACAGCTATAGAACCAACAACTGATGGTCGACTCATGCTTGTACCTAGCCAGAACAGAAGTTGCTTGCCCCACAGCACAGTGAACTAACTAAACACTTGTGTTTTTGTAGCCTCTAGAGTTTGAAGTGGCATATTACATAGCAAAAGCTTCATCTTCACTGCAGGGAAGAGGTGACTCAGAAGACCTAGAGATCCACTTGAGATCCCCAAATAAACAAGGTCATACTGTTTTTCTTCTAGCTCTACTGAATGTCTTCCAGAGAATGAAATCTTTGTGTATGTTTGGCATTCAAAGGATAGTCTCAATGTTTAAAGAAACACACCATGGCTATGGTTTTCCCAAGCCTTTTGAAGGCAAGACTGTACCCTACAGTTGCTTGATAAGTCAGAAGATAATAGGAGACTGTCACTGTCACTGTCCTCCCGTTGTTCATTGATTTGCTCGAGTGGGCCCAGTAGCATTGTGAGACTTGTTACTGTGTTTGGGATATGAATATGTCACGGGTAGCTTGCCAGGCTTTGCCGTGTGGGTGAGATACTCTCGGTAGCTTGCCAGGCTCTCCGAGAGGGGTGGAGGAATCAAACTTGGGTAGGCCATGTTGGATGCATGCAAGGCAAATGCCTTACCCGCTGTGCTATCACTCCAGCCCATAGTAGGAGACTATCCCAACAAATTCTTTCAGAGAAATAAGCAACTGAGGAAGCTTTTCTGCAGGAAGACCCATAGTAGGAGAGATACTTATACCAGTCAACATCTAAAAAGCATCAGCCAGGGCCTTAGATTCACTACTGATATCTAATTTACTAACCCCTCTGATCCCACCTTGGTGATAGAATTGGTGTCTTTACAGCATTGATATTTGTATTTCTACCAAGTTCATTTGGTATTTCTCATTCTTAGTAATATATGGGGCAAGACAGCATGTTAAAATTACAGGGAAGCTTAAAAAGAAATGTTCAGAACATTATATTAGAATCTCAGAGCTGGCACTCAGACATCAGTATTTCTGAAAACTTCCCAGATGAGGCTTATGTGCAGCCAGGCAGTAGAATCTAATCTGACCTCTAGAACTGATCCGTCAGCAGCTAGATTTTTCTGCAATTTCATGGGCTGGAGCGATAGCACAGCGGTAGGGTGTTTGCCTTGCACGTGGCCGGCCCAGCAAACCTGGTTTCAATTCCTCCACCCCTCTGAGAGAGCCCGGCAAGCTACCAAGAATATCTAGCCCGCACGGCAATATGCCAAACACAGTATTAAGCAGTCTCACAATAGAGACGTTACTGGGCCCATTCGAGCAAATTGATGAACAACGGGAGGACAGAGTTAAAGTGTGTTCATGAACATCACCTCATCATGACATAGTCATGATAATCAAGGTTGTACTTTTGGTCAGTGTACAAGAAATGCTACCCCCGAGATTCTTTTATTGTTAGATCCTCATTGCTTGGTTTTCCAGAAGGACGTTCAATATTCTAGGGGACATTTCCTCATTACTAAACATTTCCTTTTGGGAAAAAAGAAGTTCGTTTTTAAAGCACAGTTTTCACCACAGAGAAAGACGGCAGAGCATTGTGCATCAGTCAGATGCTAGCCGAGGTCTTCCCTAATCCCTAGAGAGCTTTACCATTCCCATGCAGAGGGGGGCACCTGAATGCTTTTGTCACAGTGGTACTCAAGCTATTGAACCCCTTCGGTTGTGCAACCCAAACTCAGAATATGCAAGGAATCAAGATCTCCTGAAAGCATCTCATAACCAGTGGCAGGCAAGTGCATCTCCCTTGCTAATGGTCAGGAAAAATGCCTGCACTAATTCCAGAGACCCTTTGGTGGGACTGAGCCAGAATTATTTCTCACCTCACCATCCATCCTGTAGACTGTGCTCTATGGCACCTTTGGTTGTCCCCATAATTTCTCTGTCCTCTAGTTTCTCTGTCCATATTCCCCAGACACTGGCTTGACTTTGGAAGACTTCTTGATAAATCATGCTTAATGAATGGATCCTCATCTGTTTCTAGAGAACACCACCTAAGGTGCTTTCACAACTTGTAAACTCCTTATAAGTACTGACCTTCATCCTTAATGCAAAGGGCATTGTATGTGCCTCCAGGAACTGGATTGTTGTCAATTCTGACATCAACAGCTCTCATGGTCTGCTGTTCACCATTCCCCTTGCTACATACAGTTGTCCTGAAATAGACAAAGAATGCATGGGGTCAAGTTAGCCAAATTAACCAAAATGTAAAATAGAAATTCTTTTCTGTTACCACTACATCAGTAGAGATATTTTTGATTCAGGGGGTTGAGTTTGAAAGTACCGATGTGGAAACTCTCTTCGAAAATATATAATCAGGAAGACATAAACAATACTTAAGCTGAGTTCATATGTTTTGATTCAAGTTTCAGATGCAATGCATTGATAATCCCTTCAAGTATATGTTTTCTATCTCAGGAAATTATGCTCTTCATCTTTTTTGGTTTCTTTCCTTTTGAGGAAGTTTGCTTTGCTGTTCTAGATTCCTTAACACAGATAATTAGTTCATGGAATTCATTCTTTTCCAACATTATTAATCTAGATTTTCCCCCAGGAATATCTTCAAATCATAATATCCTACAAGTAGAGTATATTCTTAATATAATGCAGTTGTCTATATAGCTAATTTCATCATAATTGACTTTCTGTCCCATTATTTATCTGGGGATGTATTTTATAAACTAAAAATAGTAGAATCTTAAAAAAAATTCACCGGACAATTTTTTTTTCTTTTTAAATCATATAGTCTATTTATATTTAATTAAACTACAGCTATCTCTTAAATTAAATTTGCCATATTATAAGTTCTTTCTATTTAGTTTTTTAGATTTCTCTTTTTGGGCTATTTGAAATATCTTTTCTTTGACTTTCTCTTTTTCTGTGTTGGTTTGGTAATTAGATAATCTTTTTCTGTTTTTTAGTGGTTACTCCAGAGATTACATAATGTTTCCTTGACTTGAATGTATTAAATTTAGCATTCCCATTATTTTAACACTATTTTGCTCTCTTCCCCAAAAATATAATTCAAAATAAACTATTCTATTACATATATTAAATACTTTCTGACTTTATACAATTTTTGTGATCATTATTTTTTCTTTAAAAAATAACATAATTCTATTGACATACATACTTAATCATTCCATTCATACTTTTTCACATCTCTAGTCTCTGTATTTATTTTCCTTCTGCCTAAAGAGTGTCCTATAGTGTTTCTTTCGTTGTAGGTCTGATATAATGAATTTTCTCTTTTATTTTTACTTTCATTTTTACTCTTGAAAGATACTATAACTGGGTATAAAATCCCATATTGTCAGCAATTTTCATTCAGCAGTTTGAAGTTATAATTCAATTGTTTTCCTTTTTTGCCACATTCAGTGGTGCTCAGGGGCTTCTCTTCTCCTGGATCTGTGCTGGGGGAGTTGTTTGTTCCTTGAGTTTCTCAGAGGAACATGTGGTGCCAGGGATGGAACATGGGCCTCCTACATGCAAAGCCTGCATTCAGCCCACTGAGTGCTCTCTCTGGTTCCTCCCCCCATTTTTTGCCTTCTAAGGGTGCTCACTGGGTCTTGGGGCCACTCACAGCAACTCTCAGTCAGTTAGGTTGACTGTTGGATGCTAGGACACAATGATGCAGAGATGCTTGAGCCTTGTACTGCCAGGTGCCACAGGGCCACACCTGCTAGTGTTTGTGGGCCTTAAGGGCCACAATGGAGGGTGCTTAAGAGGTCATGTGGTGCTGAGTTGGTAATCTTTATGCTATCTCCCTCCCCATATGTTTGTCTTTTGGTTCAGTTTATTGTTTCTTTTTTGAATGTATTTTCTTTTTGTTCCTATTGATTTTAATAATTTTACTCATGTTTAATTTTGTGAGGTCTCCAAAACGGTGCTCAGGGAGCCCAGTGGCAACTCTTGGCAATTCTTGACCAACTGGATAAGGTGTTTCAATGCTTAGGGCTGGAGCGTACAGAACTTCTCTGGCCCTTTGGTACTATGGCATTAGGGGTACACTGAATGTGCTTGAAGGCCTGCAGGGTCATACCTGGCAGTGCTTGGATACCTCTAGATGTTTCTCTTCATTATGGTTGTCTTGGGCTGGAGTGATAGCATAGCACGTAGGACGTTTGCCTTGCACACAGCTGACCTGGGTTCGATTCCTCCACCCCTCTCAGAGAGCCTGGCAAGCTACTGAGAGTATTCCGCCCACACAGCAAAGCCTGGCAAGCTACCCATGATGTATCTGATATGCCAAAAACAGTAACAACAAAGTCTCACAATGGGGATGTTACTGGTGCCCGCTCGAGCAACTCAATGAACAACGGGAGGACAGTGCTACAGTGCTATGGTTGTCTTATATGTTTAACCTTTTTTTCCCCTCCTGTTTAGAATTCCAATTATATGCATCTTCTTTCTTTTTACCACTTTGAATCCCCTTTCCCTCTGAAGGGAGAGAATTCTAGATTCTATATTTGTCTGCATTTTATGTGTATTCAATGTAAACTGATGGCAATACTAATAAAATCGACTATATGCCTGTAATTTCATCAATCTCAAGATATACCATACGTTAAATAGTTTTCATTTGGTTGGGGGAGACATTGGCTATGCAGGAAAGATTCCTGGTAAAATGTATATACTAATGTTCAGTTCCTTCTTAGCTACAAAAACAGTAAAACAGAAAAGACTATTTTTATTTATTTATTTTCAGTAGGTTCACAAGCAGTAGTGGCTCTTGGAGGCCATGAAACGCTGGGGATCAAACTTAATGCCCTACACATGTGCTCTACCACTTGAGTTATCTGTTCCACCTTCAAAATGAACTTATCACAGAGGCATGTTTTCTTCTTTCAAAGTAATAGCTAACCAATATAGAAATCTATTAATACTCCTCAGCATCTCTAACCACAAACCCAGAAAGGATAGCCTTTCCAATGACCCTGTCCTGACTTGTACACCACCAGGATACCCCTAACTCCAGTATAGTCTTAGAGAATTTCTGAATAATTTGGTTATCTAAGGCAGTGAATAATGGAAAAATTTATACAGGACCATATTATGCATGCACATACTACTTGCCTATTTAGGAGCAAGGGTGTAAAATAGGATGCAGAGGGGGACACATGTCTAGATTCACAGAAAAGCACTGGCAGTGGTCATGGGTGTTCTTTAAGTTCAGTTCTTGCTTCCCAGGTGGCACATGTGGAGATGTGAGTCAGTATGACTATGTATTTTCCATGGCCAACTGCCATCCAGACATCTCCAGGGTTGTTATCCACTAGAGGAAATCTTTGAGCACATTTTGTTCTTTCACATTCCTTGTGGCATGCAGGGGGCGCTTCCTTGAGACTGGCTAATAAGGCAGGCACTGGCACTGTGGAGAACTTTTCTCCTAGCTAACCACAAGATGGACTTCTCTCCAAGGAATTCATGGGTTAGGGTCCCAGACAGTGCAAATTGGGAGTAGCTCACTTCTGCTCTATAATGATGAGGTCCTGCAAGACTGGTGGTAAATCAATAGACTAATGTGGCTGGCTAGAATCATTCGATGGATGAACTGCCTATTGGCTGGGACATTGAAGTTCCTGCTGACAGTATCAACGTGAATCACTTCTATGTGGCCTTCTTCTGCAACATGGCCACTGCAGGATAACCAGACTTCTCCCCTCCATCTCACCAGTGAGAGAACCAGAACCAGAACCAGGTCTAATCTCATAAGTCATGTGGCATCATGTTTGCTGTAGTTAGCAGGCTGAGGCTCTCCTATGCAGTCTCTGATTTAAAGGGAAAGGACAGAGCATCCACTGCTTCATGAGAAGCATGTTAAAGAACTCATGGCGTTATCTAAAGCCCCCCAAACCATCTTTCTATACATGTGAATGTGCAGGAAGATGCACAGAGAAAAGGAGATAAAGAATATAAGCCAATTTTTAAAAACTTTTTACCTCTGAGGTACGAGACAAGAGAGAATCCCACTATATACTTTTTATAGATCTGTATTATTTTAAGTTTATTAGTGCTGCAAATTAAAAGGGAAATTCAAAGTAACAGAGGGTGGGAAACGGGAAGGATTCCAGAATAATTTTTTGAATGTGAACAGTCCAAATAAGAATGTTCTAGAAGCCACTGCCCACTCTACCTTGCCTGTGCTGGCAGCAGCATTTTTTTTTTTTAACCACAATTTACCTATCCTCAACAGGATAATTCTTTTAATTTACTCATGGTGAATTCCAAAATTACAAAGTTATTCTGATCCATAGTCAGACGCGTTATCCATTGCGCCACTGGCCCATCATTGGGCTGGAGCGATAGCACAGTGGGTAGGGTGTTCGTCTTACAAGCGGCCAACATGGCCGACCCGAGTTCGATTCCTCCGCCCCTCTCGGAGAGCCCGGCAAGCTACCGAGAGTATTCGATATGCCAGACACAGTAACAACAAAGTCTCCAATGGAGACGTTACTGGGCCCGCTCGAGCAAATCGACGATCAACAGGAGGGCCTTTACCTTTACCTTTTACAAAGTTATTCATGATTTGGTTTCAGTCATACAATGCTCCAAACACAGACCCTTCACTAGTGACCATTTTCCTCCACCAATGCCCCCAATTTCCCTGCCCCTTCCTAGCCTGCCTCTATGGCAGGCTCTTTTTGCTTACTTTCAGCTTTCTTGTTTCCTTCACCAGTGACCACTCTCCTCCACCAGTGTTGGACTGTACCTTCCCTGACCTGTCCCACTCCCACCCCATGTGGCAAACTTCCTACTGTAAACCAGTTCTCTTATCCCTTATTTCTATTGCCTTTGGGCATGTGTTATCTCCCCCACTATGTTTGTTTATATCCCACATCTGATCAATAGGATCATTTCTTGAGCCCTTCCTCCTATTATATATGTGTCCTGTATAAATTTTTCCATTATTCTCTGTCACTGCTTAGATAACCAAGTTATTCAGAAATTCTCTAAGACTATACTGAAGCTATATATTATAGCTATACATTAGCCCTGGGGGATATTCAGGTAGGGTGTGAAGGAGAGATTACCCCTTCTTCCTCTCAGGTTGCCATCCTTACCCGAGGGTGCCATCTGCCAGCCAGCCTGTGGTGCACACGGAGAAGGCACAGTCTTGGACTACTCTTCGCAGCTCATCCGCAGACACCAGGTGGGCGCCCCGGCCCTTGCAGGAAAGCCGAGCTGCTTCCAGCTGCAGGCCCAGAGAGCCGTTCGGAGACTCCAGCACAAAGAGCTTTCCTGTGTGAGGACAAGTACAGTATAGACTGGGTTCAGGATCCAGGGGCAATTAATCTCAGTGAACACCATCTCTGACAGGCACCTGTCAGAAGAACTGTAGCTGCTTCCTTAGCTACAGATGCAAGCAGCTCCTTCACAGTGCTCAACTCAGGGACTGACCAGGTAATGACCATTCGTATAAAGTTTTCATCCATTTTTTTGTTTTTCTTTAAGAAAACCAATTTAATCATCTGGATTAGACCTTCAAATTCTCCAGTCACATGGGTATTTGTATAACAATTTGGCAACCTAGTTCCTTGAAATCACTGTCTTGGGTGGAGCTGGGTTGGGTCATGTGGTATTCAAGGCATCCACACAGACCCAAGTTGTACCTTCTACTGATTCTATTATTGAAAAGTGTCTTTATACCCAGAAGGTTGCTTCCCTCCTGGTCTCAGAGTCTATTAGGTCCTTCCAAAATGAACTCAAGTGTTTGCTGTACAAATCCTGGTCTGGACAAGATGACAATGACCATGCCCAGTGCATCTTGGTTCACAACACATCAATATATAGGCATTAGAGGACATCAATATATAGGCATTAGAGGACGTCAACAATGTGTGACAGAAGGGGTTGGAGAGATAGCATAGCAGGTAGGGCATTTCCCTTGCATGTAGTTAATTCTGGTTATATCTCCAGCACTGCATATAATCCCTGAACATGAGCCAGGATTAAGACCTGAGCAATGTTATGTGTGTCCCCAAGAAGACAAAAACAAAAACAAAAAGAAAAGAAATGTGTGATGAATGAAGCGAGTCAGGCAGGGGTACATTTTAAAGCACTCATAAAAGAGCTCATGGAAGGAATCCAGGATACAGGGGAAGCACTGGAGCCACTGCCCCAGGAGGGACAAAGCCAGGCTTCAGGTGGCTCTATTAAGTTTAAAGTCAAGGGGAAAACAACCCAATGAGAACAAGAAATCTTCATTTCCATTTGCCGGAAAAACTTCGTATTTGTTTTACTGGACTAAGACACATAACCTATCTACAACAAAATTATGATGATACGTAAAACTCCCCCTCTCTAGTTTTTGATAAAAGGGTCTTAATACAAATGCAAGATAAGCACTAATCACAATGGCCAAAATCCCTGTCCAGGAACAGATGACTGATAAAGACACTAATACATACACACAATGGGATACTACTCAGTTATAAAAAAATAAAGAGATAAAATTGCACAATTTGCTGTGACATAGATGGGTCTGCTTTTTTGTTTGTTTGTTTGTTTGTTTCTGGGTCACACCAGGCTATATTCAGATTTACTGCTGATTCTTCACTCAGGGATCACTCCTTGTGGTTCTGTGGGTACCATATAGGTTGCTGGCATGGATGGATCAGATCTGGAGAATATCATGCTGTGTGAAGTCAGTCAAAAGGAGAGTGACAGACACAGGATGATCTCTCTTCTATGTGGGCTATAATGACTCTAAATAGGGGGAAAACAAAAGCCTAAGTCGACAGAACCTGGGTTTCAGTAGGAAGATTATTCGGGGGTCAGGGGGGCGGTGTGGGAATGGAAAACTTGCACAACAGTGGACGGAAGACTCACTTGGGTGGACAGTGTGGTACTGGAACATTTTATGTAAAAGCCCCTATTAATAACAGTTTTGTAACCTCAGTGACTAAAATAAAATACATTGTTTTGAAAAGTGCAAGGTAAAGTTCCAAGTAAACTTATCTTTGGTGACTGTTGCATCCTCAGAACTTGACACAGCTTGAATGATTAGACATGGCAGGTGCTCTCCCAGGAGAAAAGAATCATTACACTTTGCATGAGTAGTATTGGATTATGTGTGTGTGTATGGGGGAGTTATAAAAATTAAATTGAGGTTTTATTGGCCAAGGGGGATTTAAAGATCACAAGAGAGAGGGAAGCTGACAGACTTCTTGCTTCTTCACCCCCCACGACACAGAAGTACACAAATCAGGGAATCTTAATAGTAAAACTCTCAGAAACCAAGAGAACAAGGATTAAATGTAACTTCTCTCATTTTCAAGGGGCTGTTGGAAAAATTACCCTGGTAATAGGAACCCATTTGTCAGTCCTCAATGGGAATTACAATCCTAACTAACACTGATGTCTAAGACAGTTTTAGTCATAGGTTTAAAGTAGATTGAGATGGACATTCGCCCACATATATGGTAAGAATAAGTGTGAATCATTTCTGGAGAAAAAATACTCAGAGAATCCCATGCAAACAATTTTTCAGAGTAAAATTGTTACTCTGAAATTGTTAATTTTTCAGAGTAAAATAATCACTCTGTAAAATGCAGCCAAAAGTATAAGGAAGCTAGGTGTTTCCATGAATGACAAGTGACATATAACAAGCAGCAAAACTGACATAAAACAATCCTGATACATTGGTATTACATAATGATAATACCAATGATAAACAAATATGTAATGGGTATTTGGGGGTGTCATTTTACTATTTTTAAAAATTATTTTATTATTATTATTATTATTATTTCTGATCTACACCCAGCATTGCTCAGGGCTTACTCTTTCTTTGCTATGCACTCAAGGATCACTCCTAGCAGGCTTGGGGCTCATATGGGGTGCCAGAGATTGAATTCTGATGACCTGGTGCAAGGCAAACACCCTGTTTACTGCACTATCACTCCAGCCCCTTGATATTTTAGACACAAGTGAATAAAGAACTTATCCTTGAAAGGGGAATTTTAAACATTCACCAAAATGGAGTAAAGAGCAAAAAAGATGAAAAATATGATGATAAACATGGAGGAAAGGATTAGGATGAATATATATATATATAATCCATGATTTATATATATATATTTATATATATAAATAATCCATTACTTATATATATAATCCATGATTTGCTAGTAGAATCTTACAGTTATTGAAAACATTTATCAAGAACAAAAGTGAAACAAACACATTTTCAGATAGATAAAAATGAAGCCAAGTAGATCTTTATATAAAATCCTAGAAGTATTTCAGTCAGAAAGAAAATCATCTGAGGCAATGTGGACAAGAAGGAAGGAATCAATACATGGTAAAATATAAATGAACACTGTCAAACGTGTAAAATGTCACCCAACCATAGCTGAGTACACTTTACTCCTAAGAGCACATGCGATATTCTCTAGTATACACCATATGCTAGGCCACAAAAATGAGATCAGATAAATTTAGAAGGATTACAATTGTACAAAATCTGTTTCCTAATTACAGTGAGTTGGACTTAGACATTAATAACAGAAATATGTTAGGGAATTTACAAATTGGTGAAAATGAAAAAAAAAAACCCTAAATAAGTCAAAAGAGAAGTCACAGTTGAAACTTGAAACTACTTTGAGATAAATGAAAACAAACTTATTGAAACTTACCTGATATAACTAGTACAGTGCATAGGGGTAAATTTACAGCTGTGAGTTTCTGCATTAAAATAAGAAATATAGAGACTTGAGAGATCATACAGTGGGTAAGGCCATTGTTTGCACACAACTGATTCCAGTTCAATCCCAAGCAATGTATATAATCTCCTGAGCATTGCCAGAAGTTATCCCTGAACATCAGGGGGAAAAAAAGGAGAAGAAATGAGAAAAGTAAAAAGAAAGAAAGGGAGGGGGAAAAGAATTGCATAGATGATGAAGTGGGTAGATCAAACAGATCAAGGGTCTATTTGGCACTCAAAACTCAACTAACATAATATACCTATCAACAGAATAAAGAACAAAACCTTATGGATCTTCTCAGTACATGGATAAAATGCACCTGATAAAATTCAGTGCTACTTTGACAAAGCACTGAACAAGGCAGTAAAGGAGAGGAAAGATTTCTTTAATCTGATAGAAAGCAACTACAAAAATCCCATAGCTAAAATTATACTTAGTAATGAAATGTTGACTACTTTCCCCTAAGATCTTTGACAACAAGAATGTCTGTCCCTGTCATTTCTATTCAACACTCTACTGGCTGCTCGAGACAGAAAAATTTGGAAAGAAAACAAAATAGAAAGCATCCAGATTTGAAAAAAGAAACATAACCATCTCTCCTTAAGATCAATATAATTTTGCAAATAAAATTTTTTAAATAAATGTTGGAATATTGTAAGTTTGAAACTCTATTATTAACTATATGCACACCATAGTGCCTAATGAAAAATTACAAACAAATAAAAGAACTAATGAAAGAAAGAAATAACAAGAAAAGGGAAGGAAGGAAGAAAGAAAGGATGGAAGGAAGAAATTCCATTGAAAATTACTAGAACAAGTATAGCAAGGTTGCAGTACACAAGCTCATATCAGTTGTAGTTCTCAACTCTAGCAAGGGATAGTCTAAAAACAAAAGTACTATTCCATATCACCCCAGAGAACTAAAATATGTATTATTTTAGTTTGATAAAAGACATGTAATTCTGGAGGTCTCTGAAGGTCCCAGTGGCCTCCAGAACTGTGGGGACTGAGCAGCACTGTGTCACGTGCTGGACGATAGAACAGTCTGATCCAGTTCTCGGAGTGCCATAGGGAGTGGCCCAAGCTCCCTGAGCATTGCTTCAGAAGTCTCCCTGCCCTCAAATATGTAAAATGTGTACTCTGAAAATTGCAAAAACACTATTGAAAGCAACTAAAGAAGACTTAGGTAAAGGGGAATTCCTTTTCTTGGATAGGAAGACTGCATTGTTAAGATAGCAATGCTCACCAATAGATCTATGGGCTCAGCACCATTTCCATCAAAATCTCAGTTGCTTTTGTTGGTCTTAGAATTCAGAGAGAAATGTAAGGGTCCCAGAGTAGCCAAAACATATTGCAATTATCACACTTCCCAATTTCAATTGCTATGGTAATCAACTCAGTGTGGTTTGGCATATGATAGAAAAACTGGTAAGTGGAATTGTGAGTCCAGAATAAACTTTTCCAATTACAGTCAATTTGTATTTAACAAGGGTGTGAAGACCACTCAATGAGAAAAGAAGTTTTCCCACAAAT